TTGTTTATATTTAATCGATTTAGACATAATACAAATACACAGCACATTTATTGGCTTCATCATACTTGTGTTTCTGTTAAGCATGCAGTTGTTAACATGAATAATACGTCCTGACCTCCCCATGTATAATATGTTGTGTGGTGTTAACATAACCCGTAACAACTTGTACACCAATCCCTAGTATTCATTTATAAAATAATAATATGTTTAAGTCACTTGGTTCTTGTTTGTTCGCAAAGGCATCATTTTTAATTTGTCCATGTCTAACCAAGCCGTGCGTACTCTGTATAAAACTTTGAGATAGTAAACCCTTAGGTGATAACTGATAATTGGTCCCATCGACGTCATTGTCAATGCATCTTGTCCACTGCGAGTAGCTTGACAGTGAGTAGTTGCAGTTATCTTTGGCAATAGCGGTTTCGCCGTCGCTGAACTAACCAGGTGGTATATTTGCTCTTGGTTTGAATGAAAGACCATGTGTCATCGTTAAATGTGTTCTTGACCCCTTGTCTTTAGTTACATATAGCTATCAAAACTGATCAATGAGCACGTTTTCTATACTGAAAGCCATTAAAAACGCAATTGGTATTTGTTGTCCTGAAACTTACAAAAGTTCTATTGAAGATTTTTTCCTGCGATAGAGGATGTAGGGATAAAAGGCTGTTATTCTGGCACATTTCGAGTTCGAGTCCCGGAGCATTCCTCTCACATGAACTTTGATACTTAAAACTGAACCTTTGACATTTCTCGTAAACACAACCACATTCATGAAACACGTTGTGCACATGCATTACCTGCACCCAGGCCCTGTAAAAGCACAAGGAATTGTGAAACTCAATCACTTTGAGAAAATGCCACACTTGACACAAGACGAAAGGAATCAGGTTTTCGGTATGGTCAGCCAAAGTGCTTCAGATGTGATGATTGCCAGGCACTTTAATGTGCATCCATCCACTGTAAGTCGACTCAGACAACGTTTTCGGGCTACCGGAAGTGTTGCTGATCGTCCGCGACCTGGTGCACCACCTGTGATAACAGCTCGACAAAACCGCAATATCCGAGTTCCACACTTGCGAAATCGGTTCCAAACAGCTGATGATTAGGCAAGGAGGACAGTTGGGACAAGTCAATGTCATTTCAGCGCCCAAAAGGTGCAAGGACGCCTTGCTGCCTTCAACATCCGGTGTCGTCACCCGTACCGTGGTCCAACCTTATTGCATCGCCACAGACTTGCCAGACAGCGATGGGCAGCAAATGGGGCCAATCTTGGCAACAGGACATGGCCAGGTGTCATTTTTGCAGATGAATCCAGGTTTAACTTATCCTTTGCAGATGGACGTCAACAGATTTATCGACGTAAAGGAGAAAGACCTAGCTAAACTGTGTCCTTGAACATGATCGTTTTGGAAGGGGTGGTGTCATGATCAGACCACAGACCATCAGAAGCTGCAGACCATCCAACAGCTGTTCCTGAGAAATGTGTGTCTTTCAATGCCCCAAAGACTGCGAGCATGTCTTGCAGCGCACGGTGGACACACACGATATTGACTGCAAGTGACCCCTCCTTTGTATGATGTCGTTGTTGCGTCACTGATGTTGTTGTTGACTGGACATTTTCAGATCAAATTATTCACAGATGTACACTTAAAACATATCTGCCAGTTAGGTTTATATATGTTGAAATTAGTGTGAGTAAAGAAAGTATGAATGTCAAATTGCATTTCTTAATGGCTTTCAGTATAGTATTACTTTGTTCTCATTTAATGACACCCACATGCCACATTGTGACATCCATACCTACATTGCATTCAAACCCTGCATTTAGGTGTGTATTCAGCCCTCTCCATCACCACCTCATTTTTAATGCAACATCCGAAGGGCTGTTCATTATCATGTTGTCTGCGTAATTTGCAGTCAACTGACTGTACGTACCAACATCAGCCAAAACTGCACGTGTCATTGTTGTACCCGGAACGCTTGCCGATTTCCCTATTTCCGAGAGTCGGGAGAGATTTGGTCTTCTGCAATCCACGCTCGCCGTTGAGGGAGGCTGAAGGAACGTGTATTTGTAACGTTTGTTACTTTAAGGGTAAGTGCTTTTCTTTTAATGTATAGTTTTACTGTGTATAGCATGCGGACATTTGCATGATGATTTGTGAAACATTTTTATGAAAATCTATCATTACGTCAAATTTCACATGTGATTAGATACAGCGTATTATACACTTTTCAGCAATTTGTGTAAATTGTCAATTCTTTTGTGTCTTTTGTGCCCTACGAACTGACGTTTGGCTGTTGCATCTGCTCCGTCATTTCCAACGATTATAGTTTGACCGGGTACACATAACATAGTTTGTTTAGCGGTTTCAACTGTTGGGCTTGATGGATAACGTTGATGATTAGGTCAAATATTCTTTGTTTTGAAAGGGTCTCTGGAGTATGGAGGGAGGTGTCAGTGTAAGTTGGGTGTGGGATTTCCAGGTCTGTTTTATATGGATTTGGTTTGTCATATATATTTGGTTATTGTTGGTGGGATGTATGATGGCGGACGACTGACGACTCCCTGATGAGGATGACGATTTCTAGATTTAACGTGTGCGTTCCGACATAATGCGTATTTCGCCAATGGGGACTTCCGATCCAAAGTAGGCTTGTAGCCGGCAGGCGGACGGACCAATAAATGAGGAAGCTGGACACAACCAATGATCACGCATAGAAACAGGGGGAAAAAAACCAAAAAAAACCCATACATTCTGATTAAACTTCAAAATAGAGAAAGGCACATATGGGTAATGATTAACATGTGTGTAACGTTTGGTGAACCTAGCATGTAAACTGTAAGAGACATGCTCCGGACAAATTTTCTGGACAGACGGACAGAGTGAACGCAATATACCCCAGTTACTTCGTATAATGATGGATGCAGTTCCATTCGTACTTGATCATATGTTCCCGTGTTGTTGATTTTCTAAGGCCCACCTTTTGCGAATACCCGGTATCATCACCACGGGTTCATAATGGAGACGGAATCGTACAGTAGACTCTGCTTCTACTGGTAGTGATTTCGTATGGAAGGTCTTTGTCGCTTCTGAAACATGAATATAGAAGTGTAAGAAGATACTAGCTATTTTTCAGAAATACAGCATTTCTCAACTCATTGTTCCATATGAATAGTAATGGACTTGTTGAATGAATAAATTTCGTAATCGGCTGAAATGCATTAATACTGCGCAACATGCATGCACTACAGGTAATTTCCTAAACATCTGGTGTTGACACTGTTTGTCCGCGATCATTAGTGACACATGGTTTCATGTAAATGACTTGCACTCGTGATAGAAATGCTATGGCATGCTGTGTTCTAGGTAAAACGTGTCGCAGTGGTTAGCATTCTTCACTAAATTATTTTTCTCACGAGGAAGTGCAGCACAGACCCAGTTTGGCAAGCTAGCTATTCGATAGTAGAATATTACAAAATAAACAACTGTTAGTGTATGAAAAGATAAATCTAAATAAGGTTACAGCAACTGACTAAAGAAGATAAAACTGACGAGTACAACCAAGAACATTCCAAACAAATGTCATCAGGTGACAAATCCCCACACACACACACACGCACCACTCCCACCCTTCCCCGCCCCCACTAAAGTAAAGGAACAAATTATCTGACAGTTTCTCAAAGTCTTATTTAAATGAGAATAATTGGTGGGGTGGGGTTTACAAATGAATTATGAATTAGTATTTAGTATTGCTTGTATTTTAGTCGAGTGTGTAATATGGAACAATGACAGTTGAAACTTATTATTATGGTCGTATAACACTGCGATACAAGCATTATTTTCTTTGTTATTCTCTTACTATTTGGAAATAGTTTTTAATATATATTATTACATGTCACGGAATAGCCATAGAGCGTCATCATCATCACAACAAAACGCAGTATGAATATTAACAACATTAGTTTATTCAAAAGTTATTACAACACACACACATTTTCACACATGAAACATCCATCTTCACACTCACCGTACACACCTTGTATGCCCCTACAAGTAAACCCTATTCACTCACACACAGTACATTCTAAGTTTCACCCGACTCTCAATAACACCTTCCCAACATCATAACACATCATCCCACAAGGACAACCAATTACTTTACATGCCCACACTTCTATTTGTACACAAACACACAAGTTACTTAATATAATAAACTAAACAAATATATCTACACTTTTAATTACATGTACTTATTATTCACTTCTATGACAACAGATCATACATGAATTATATGATTCGTACAACCATATTCACAGTATCTGTGCCAACACATGAATATCAAACTGATTAAAATGTTCAGTAAAAGATGGTACTGTTAAATGTCCGTTCATGTCACACACATGAAGGTCACACAAGAGTCAGAGATGCGTCGTCATCTATGCCTTTGTCGCTGGATTCTCTCAGGGTTTGGCACACACTCAAGGGAAAGAAGGGTATTCGACTCAGGCGGCAATCAGCTTGAACATCCCAGGGTTACGAACACACGACCTGGCCAAGGTCAAGACTCGCATGGGATATCATCTTCACACCGTAACGAAGCTCCCTCTACTTGTTCACGTCGCCATCATGCACCCATTACAGGCTAGGTCTGCTCACGTACGAAGCTCCCACTACTTGTTCACGTCGCCATCATGCACCCATTACAGGCTAGGTCTGCTCACGTACGAAGCTCCCACTACTTGTTCACGTCGCCATCATGCACCCATTACAGGCTAGGTCTGCTCACGTACGAAGCTCCCTCTACTGAGTCGTTGTGACGAGATCATTATATTCATAGTTTTATGAGGACTGGGTTCTGTGCTGCTGTCTGTTAAAGTCCTTTGAGGATTGTTCGTCGCCTCGTGTCTAGTACGAGCTAAGCAACTGACTAAAATGGCTATCGGCAGCTGTCTGATGGGACAATATTTCACATTTCCATAATCTTAATTGAACAGAGCCACAATGAAGTTTGACGACTTACTGAAAGAACTTGGTGAGTTTGGAACCTATCAGAAGAGGCTTTACGTCCTTCTCTGTATTCCGATGGTGTCCCTGGGAATACAGATTATGGTAACCGTCTTCACACTCGGCGTCCCGGATCACAGGTATACATGAGTTCATTTGTAAATCAATATCAATATGGACATCTTGTGGATTCGAACACAGAGTTGCTTGATGTTATGACAATCGTAGACAACAACCGAGACCAATGACGTGAAAATATTTAATTTTTTTACAGTGTACATCACTATCCCACAACACAAACCTGAAGAAGAAACGTAATTCTTTGTTCCATCGGGAATTTGTTATAAACATGGTGACCATGGATAACCGCTTGTCCTTGCCCGCCATTCCACCATAGGTGTTTCCCAGGCTAGTCCTTGAGACCATCCGCTGGTACTCACCATTGGGGACATGTCGGGGACGTTTATGTTTACCATATGAAATTCCAATGGATAACAGGAGCCAATTCTATGGCGTTGTGCAATTATTGTAACGAGACGATATTTTGTAGGGTCGGTATTTTATGCATACCAAACCTCTATGCAACCCAACCCATTTAACGGCACTGGTCCAAAAACCCAACAATATTTGCCAATCATCAACAGACTTTGAAATAATACTGTTCCGCTTAATCGTACGCACGTGTCGCCATGTTGTCAAGTCAATTCACGTCCGTCAAGTTGTTTCTTTGTATGAAGGCCATTGGCCCATATACGCATAGTATAATACGTTTAATTGAACATGAATTACATACAATGTACATTGATGTTTTATATATGCTATATTTCAAACATATTGCTCTCTTATTATTAAGCTTTGACAGACATCTACAAAAATCATTTAATACATCACTACACTTTGAGTTCATTAGCTGTCTAAATTTGTGAATATTAACATTGTGGTGGTACATATATGGTAGATGACGCTGTCTTAAATTCCTGTAGTATTTACATACAAGGATAAAATGATACTCATCTTCAATTCCGTTGTTACACAATTGATATACTCGCTGACGTAATTCAATGCCCAACCTTCCTTACCTTTTAATTTCAAAATTCCACATCTAAGTCTTATCATTATATTTCGTTGAGTTTTATTTGTTAATAGAGTGAGATACTTTTCTGGATCTAGTAGGCTTTTATATTGTCTAAATACACTATGTTGAGAACTATCTTGTATAATACCATTCCATGACTGTAAATATATATCAACAGTATCCTTCTTAAACATTTGAAGAAAAACTGAAATTTCACCAACACCCTGAGACAACCAAACTGTGTTGTCTGTACACTGTCACAGAGGCGATTGTGAGCTTGTGTTAAGTTCGGCTGAAATTGATTCCCCAATAGGCGTAAAGGATCTGTCTTCTGTGCGAACTTGGGTCACATGCATTTCATGTGTTCATTGTGATCAGATGTTGCGTTTTTATTACGACGCATCGGTATTGTAAATGTACACCTCAACGATGGCTACATTCCATTTATAAGCTCCCTTATTTTGTGTCGGTAGTATATATGTGTTGTTTTTGTAGGTGTGCAGTTCCTGGTTTAGATAATGATACCTACGCCATTCAAGGGGAACAACATGCACTTGCAGTAAACGCCGCTATCCCTATGGCCAATGAAGGAAGACAACCTTATTCGTCCTGTCTCATATATGTGGCTATCAATTCAACAAATTCGGGTGCTGTAAAATATACCAACGCAACCCGCTCTTGTAATCGATGGGTTTACGATCAAGAGACGTTTGGCTCGAACATCGTGACAACGGCATGTATCTAGGTTTTCCTTATGTAAAGCATTACGATGTTTTGACAAGGCATAATTTGCAATCCAAATCAAAATGAAAACGTACTGACGAGTTAACGTGTTGGGTAGTTTGAAATAATTCCAAGAGTATGCCCGGTTTTCATAACTACTATATATATATATATTTATATATACATATTTATATATATATATATATATATATATATATATATATATATATATATATATATATAATATATGTATGTGCATTTCTCAATCATGGAGGTATATACGAGGGTCGATCAAAAAGTACGTAGCCTAACTATATTCTCGATGACCACTGTTTGAAAAGCTTTCATTTTATTTTGGATGAATCGTTAGCAAAGACTTATCCAAAATTTCACATGTGTGGGTAATGTTGTTAACCAGATACTTGTCATCACAACACCGTGGGGTATAACATATCTAACAAATTTGCAGAAAACTCTTGGATAATGGTATGACCTCAGATAATGTCATATGAAATATGTTCAGTATAGTATTGAATGACTTCCCGTCATGATCAATAGTCAAAGATTTGGATAGCCTGATTTATATTTAGTCGGGGGCTATTTTTTAAGGACACCCCCATTTTAATCTTTCAAAAACATTGTGTCCAGATATCAAAGCTGGTACTGTTTACAATATATTGTGAGCTGACACTTGTGTGACCATTCAGTGTTTAGTTTGAACCCCTGGCATCATGTATGAATAAGTGAAAACATTAGAATAAGTTATGTCCTTATGATTACGTCATCTGAAAGGGGATGGGTAGTTTCTCCAAAACCAGCTCTTTCAGTCAACATGAAGGGGGGAGTCACTTTAACAAGCGATTGTAATTTCAAATTGCTTTTTTATGAACTTTAATATCTAAGTGTGATTCTAGGGGACTTCTATCAATCTCAAACACAAAAGGCACCCATGAAGGGCCACCTCCTCGTGGTGGGTGCTGGGTCACGCTAAGCGCCCTTCGACCCCCCGTTGTGGACCCGAGGGGATATTTGGTCCACCAACCCGTTTGCCGTGGGTTGCGCCCCTGTGTCGGTGGAGGACGGGAGCCTGGTGGTTGAGGGCACTGGTTCCAGGAACAGTGTTCCTTTGCCCAACACACCACTTCGCCCCTGACTTCACCTAGACCGGTTCTATCAATCGGCTGGTCACGCCAAGCCCTGTGTATAGACTATATCTATCTATGTCTTTGCACACATTTGATTTGGAATTGTTTTAATTTCGGGCTTACTTGTTTATCTAAAACGTTTGTGACTTTGAAATATGATGTTATGAACTTTGCCTAGAGTCTTATGCCCAGAAGGCGGTGGCTCATGGGCCAATCTGGTGGAATTATTAATCTTTTAATTCTTCTGCTTGAGTATATCATCCGGGTATCCTTGGTGCTGCAAGTTGGAAATCCACTTGTTTTTAGCATTGTCCTTGTGATACTCCGTGGTGGGTGGGGAGCTCGGATGATGAAATCTAACAAAATAACCATGGCTTATCAAACTCCAAACAAAAAAACCAAACGTCCTCTTGACAATGACCCTGTTGACAACGACCTTAGACTGCCCAAACCAACTGATTACTGGCGACGTTTTGTTGTAATTCAGACAAAAGATGATACACCATTAAAATTAAATCCTTTTGCTGTGTCTAAATGTATCCAAGGCATTGCTGGCGATGTGAAGAACGTTAAAAGATTACGTTCTGGTGCGTTGTTAATTGAGTGTGGCAAGAGGCACCAATCAAACAACCTACTGAACACTGAAACTTTTGTCGGCATTCCCGTCACCGTCACGGCTCACAAGACCCTTAACACGAGCAAGGGAATCGTTAGAGATCGTGAGCGATTGCTGGCTGACATGTCGGAACTAGATATCGTTTCCGAAATGAAGGATCAGGGTGTACTCTACGTTAAACGTTTTTCTACACGTAAAAACGATACAACCATCAAAACCAATACTTACCTGTTTTCTTTTTCTTTACCTATTGCTCCAAAATCTCTCAAGGCAGGTTATTGTAATCTCAATGTGGAGACGTACATTCCAAACCCTCTGAGGTGCTTTAAATGTCAGAAGTTTCATTACGGCGTAAATACTTTGTACATTGTCTGTTGTGTGTGCTTACTGTGGTGAAAAGACACACACAACAGAAGATTGTAACAGTACTGTCAAAAAGTGCATCAACTGCGCGGGGAACCACCCAGCTTACTCTAAGGACTGTCCCGTGTTGAAACAGCAAATGGCAATCAATCAAATAAAATTCACGCAAAACATTAGTTTTGCAGATGCCAAGAAACTAGTCCACGGCTCAGAACAGACAGACAGTTATGCTTCCATTGCCAGAACAACGGCTGAGGCAACATCTAGAGTAACTAAAGTATCTGCTAGTTGTCAGACAGATTTAACCTGGGTCAAAACAGAATCTCCTAAACCTGTCTCGCCTGCTACATCTACACAAACTGTAAACTCACTTCCCGGTACATCTCGAATCCAATCAGAGACATCCCCTGATCATGAACCATCTTCTCAGTTGTCCACAAAGTCTCAGCAAGGTCTCGTTAAAACCAAAACTAAAAAGCCAGATGTTTCCAAAAAAACTCAGTGGCAGAGCCCCAAAGGGATCAGAAAATCAAATTCATTTATTCAACAAATATGGATCTCTTGAGGATATAGACGTGTCTGAAAACGTCATTAGTAGGGTACATAGCTTGTCGCCCACCAAACAAGTGCGGGGTAGATCCCCAATAAATCCCCCCTAAAAGATAGGTTATCAGCATAATATCCTACAGTGGAATTGCAGAGGACTAAGGACTAATTTCAATGAATTGCAGCTTTTAGTCCAGGATTTAACACCATCAGCGTTCTGTCTGCAGGAGACCTATTTAAAACAGACAGATGATTTTGTCCTGCGTTCTTTCAATGCATATCATTGTTTTTCACCTCCAGGTGACAGGGCCACTGGCGGATCTTCCATCTTAGTCAAACAGAATGTTATCCATAGCCCAGTTTCACTAACTACTCATCTGCAGGCTGTTGCAGTGCGAATTACTTTACATGTTGCGTTTACATTGTGTTCTGTATATATCTCTCCGTCTTCAACGTTTCACAAAACTGATCTTCAAGCTCTATATGACCAACTCCCGAAGCCCTGTATTATTATGGGAGATTTAAATGGGCACAACCCACTCTGGGGTAGTGTCAATACAAACACTAAAGGTAAACTACTGGAGGAGTTTTGTTCAGACAATGATTTATGTATTTATAATGATGGTTCCAACACGTATTTACACCCTGGTACAGGAACCTATTCTGCTCTCGACTTATCAATCACGAATTCAGAATTACTAAATGAATTTGAATGGTCAGTCCATGATGACCTCTGTGGAAGTGACCATTTTCCTACTATACTAAAACCTGTAAATCCAACTGATATTACTCCATATTCGAGATGGAACTTTAAAAAAGCTAACTGGCCGTTGTATCAAGCTCTGTGTTGTAGCAGACTTAAACCCGAACTCTTTATAGAATGTACTGATCCTATAAAGGATTTCTCTGATGAACTAATTAATATTGCTGATGAGTGTATCCCCAAATCCTCTGCAATTCCACACATACGAAAACCATGGTTCAACGAGTTCAATGAGTGCAAACAGGCTAGGAAGGCACGGAAGAAAGCTGAGAATTATTTCCGTCGCCATCCTATGGTCCATAATTTGAATACATTTAAAATTTTAAATGCTAAGGCACGGCGTACCTTCAAGCAAAATAAACGTCAATCCTGGCGAAATTATGTATCACAAATAAATTCACGAACGCCGATATCAAAAGTATGGAATATGATCCAGAAAATAAAAGGTAAGGGTTCTAAATCTAGCATTAAGCATCTTAAAGATGGAGACGAATTATTAACTAGTCAATCTGATATTGCAAATAAACTTGGAGAAACTTTGGCCAAACACTCTTCCTCATCGAATTATTTACCTCAATTCCAAAACTATAAAAAACAACAGGAAAAGAAAACTATTAATTTCATTTCAGATAATGGGGAAGATTACAATGAACTATTTTCTATTCATGAGCTTCATACTGCTCTTGATCAAGCTCATGATACGGCTACAGGTGCTGATAACATACATTATCAGCTCCTGAAACACTTACCGGATTCTTGCTTAGAAACCCTTTTAAACATTTTTGATGATATTTGGACTTCTGGACAATTTCCTTCTTCATGGCACGATGCTATTATTGTACCCATCCCTAAACCTAGGACGTGATCATACTGATCCTTCGAATTATCGACCAATCTCATTAACTAGCTGCGTTTGCAAGACCATGGAGCGCATGATAAATAATCGACTTGTGTGGTACTTGGAAACTAATAACCTTATAACAGACATTCAATGTGGTTTCCGTAAAAACAGAAGTACTATCGATCATTTAGTGCGTTTAGAATCTTTTATTAAAAATGCCATTATTAAAAAACAACATGCAGTGTCGATCTTTTTCGATTTAGAAAAAGCATATGACACCACATGGAAACATGGTATTTTAAGAGATTTACACGATTTTGGATTGAGAGGCCGTTTGCCTCTTTTTATATCACAGTTTTTAACGGACAGGCAATTTCAAGTTCGCGTGGGTTCTACCCTGTCTGATCATTACAATCAGGATCAGGGTGTCCCACAAGGCAGTATTTTATCTGTCACACTCTTTAGTATTAAAATAAATAGTCTGTCAAAGGTTTTAAGTGATTCAATCGATGGATCTCTTTTCGTGGATGATTTTAATATTTCTTGCCGTGGTAAAAACATG